ATCATTGTCGAGATATGTTGTGAAGAGGAAGTGCCTGCAGAGATGGGCATGTCGACAGTTAGTCCTATCTTCAAAAATGACACTCAGACGCTGTGTGCAAACCACCGTGGCATAATCCTGGTGTATGTGGCGTCGAATGTGCTCTCCCGTCTTGTCCTTCGAAGATTGACTTAACACAGGCAGAGATATCCGTGAAACCAAAGCTGGGTTCCGTCCTGTAAGAGGTTGCGTCGATCACGTCTTCAGCCTCCGACAGGTTTTGGAACAGCGACACTGCTTTCACCACTCAATAATGGTTGTCATACTTTGGCTCTGTGAACCATCAGGCGCCATGGCCCTGTCCGTGGAGCAAATTTGTTTCCCCATAACTTTTCGACCCTCCTTAAGGTGCTGTGCGCAAGCTCCCGTGGATATGTGAAGGTCTACGGGGTACTCTCGCCTGAGTTCACCACATCGAATGGTGTCAGGCAAGACTGTCCTCTTTCACCTTTCCTTTTAAACTTCGTCGCTGATATGACTGTAGAAGACTCACTACCAGCCTCTAATGTCTGTCAGGTCGAAGTGCTCCCGGGACGTCCGCTCACAGACACAGGGTGCGCAGGCGTAGCTCTTCTTGGATCTGACGCCGTTGTAGTGCAAACAATATTAAATGATATAATAATAATAATAATAATAATAATAATAATAATAATAATAATAATCGTTCAGCTGTAGCGCCCTTTCGGTGCCTAGCTGCCATGCCATCCGAAGGAAGCACGAGAGCTGGTATACTGTCAGGTTGCCCAAGCCTAGACAGGGGAAGTCGAGTGGCGGAGGTCGGGTTCGAACCACGATGATATGCATAATTCAGCCTCACGATCAAGCATGCGTTTCACACCTGCAGTGTAAAGTGCTAATGGTGGAGTGGGCTCGAACCCTAACCTCATGCCTGCGGCTGAACAGGTTGAGGTAGTAGACAGATCTGTCTACCTGGGCAGCTGCTTCATTATCATCATCGACAACATGACATTCTTGTTCAACAGTGATTCTTCGCTGCCATGATTTATTTGAAAGCCTTATTGTGAAGAAAAGAATAAGGATGGACGGGAAAGAAACTTAGTTCCGGCTTACTGCAGTCGTTTCGAGGTACCCACATCTCCGGACACTCATTCAGGCAATCTGGATAAAAGCTGACAACAAGAACGCCACTAACATCGACTGGCAGCCATATCTTGTAGTCTCTCCAACTAGGCGCGGTGGGGATCACGCGGCGTCCATCCTGGAAGGTAAATAGCACCGACAGCATTCAAGCATTTCGTAATCCTATTCATGCTCCTTTGCCAGGTAAAGGGTTGGTCACCCCTCTGCTTCCGCTACTATGAATTAGGCACGGAAAACAGAACTCTTCGGCAAACGATAGTTCGGCGTGCGTAATACATGTTCTAACCAACGCAACTTCTGGTGCTTGACGGATTCTTCAACCGAACACTCGCTTTCTAATCCTATCGTTACGGATTCACCGACAACAATCCACATGAGCTAAGACAGTTATTGCCGAAGAATTGAAGATGTCTAAGTCCCACTGCTCCAACAGGCCAAGTTTCACAGGCATGCGACAAAACAGCCTGCACTGTAGCATGGTACACGTCCCTTGAGATTCAGGGATACACCACTCTAAAGTCATAGGTGTCCCAAATTAACAAACGCCACCTGGACCTGACCTTATCTTTCACACTACAATCAGAACCATACGTAAAACGCTCCACAACTTTCAGTACATCTCCCTAACTTGTAAGTGACGTGTTCGTATCAGTAAACAAGATAGCGGTCATGTAGTTTTCTAGCTAAACTGCATCGCCTAAGTTCGTTTATGTTTTTGCGGTGGACTTACATTGTTTAAGGTGCGCAAAGGATGCTAGGTCAATGATGCTTGCGGCGTCTTACTCGGACATAATGCTCAGATGTGTTCATGTCAGTGCTGTTGAAGAGTGTAAGGATCTTGTTCTCCATCATTTTGTCTAGAGTCATAGGGTTTTTTGTACAATGTTCTCCCTTTCTTCTTCCCACTTTTTACTATGGTTTTCTTTCCACATGGTTTTCGGCAGTTAAGCGCCGGTGTGTATTTGGGCCTACTAACTTTGATGGTTAAATCAGAAGTCAAAATCTATATATTCAAACCGGTTTTCTTTAACGCTAAATTGAGGAGAACCATAACCAACAGCCTCATTTTTTCTACTTGGTTTTGTAGTCTCTGTTTAATATACACGAGTTTCTGCTTCAATAATACCCATGGTCACTTGTATTCTTTGTTTTGAAAACGACTAGAAGTCGTTCCATGTTTGTTCGCTTTTCTGCCTTGCAGCTGGCCATGCCTGTCATCCAGGCCACCGTTTCGTTCGTTATAGAGATGCGGGAGTTTCACAACGTAGATCTTTACCACCGAGGGTAAGTATTTCCCTATTCCTGATATTGTTTTGTATGAATCTATCTTAGGTTCTACCAAGTGCGCGCCTATCTCCGATCCGGAAGCCAGGCTCTATCCACTCCAAACTCCGCTCAATCTAAGTCCATGAGTATAGCAGAAACTCCCTTGCGTTGGGATCGTTTGAGTTGTCGGGCACATGTCCCAGAGGCAGTGCACCCGAGTTACATTGATCCCGGATCTCAAACTCCGAATTTCGTAACAGAGAAAATGTGCAGCAAGATTCTTCTAATAATGTATCGCGAAGAAGCGGCACAGCTGTGTGATGTGTTTGAACAACGTCTGTTGCTTCAAGTTGATCCTGCGCGTTTGGAAGATTCCTTCATGAAGCATGAACTATTTCTCTGTGTTGAACTGTGGTTTGCCGAAGAATCAGTAAACGAGTACGTCCCTTTCCAAGGGAAGAGGCCACAATCTAAGTTCGTCAGTTTTGTCAGCCTTACCATCTATGCCAACCTCTTACGATGACTAAACTTAATAATAATAATAATAATAATAATAATAATAATAATAATAATAATAATAATCGTTCAGCTGTAGCGCCCTTTCGGTGCCTAGCTGCCATGCCATCCGAAGGAAGCACGAGAGCTGGTATACTGTCAGGTTGCCCAAGCCTAGACAGGGGAAGTCGAGTGGCGGAGGTCGGGTTCGAACCACGATGATATGCATAATTCAGCCTCACGATCAAGCATGCGTTTCACACCTGCAGTGTAAAGTGCTAATGGTGGAGTGGGCTCGAACCCTAACCTCATGCCTGCGGCTGAACAGGTTGAGGTAGTAGACAGATCTGTCTACCTGGGCAGCTGCTTCATTATCATCATCGACAACATGACATTCTTGTTCAACAGTGATTCTTCGCTGCCATGATTTATTTGAAAGCCTTATTGTGAAGAAAAGAATAAGGATGGACGGGAAAGAAACTTAGTTCCGGCTTACTGCAGTCGTTTCGAGGTACCCACATCTCCGGACACTCATTCAGGCAATCTGGATAAAAGCTGACAACAAGAACGCCACTAACATCGACTGGCAGCCATTGTAGGTAGTCTCTCCAACTAGGCGCGGTGGGGATCACGCGGCGTCCATCCTGGAAGGTAAATAGCACCGACAGCATTCAAGCATTAATCCTATTTGGATAAAAGCTGACAACAAGAACGCCACTAACATCGACTGGCAGCCATATCTTGTAGTCTCTCCAACTAGGCGCGGTGGGGATCACGCGGCGTCCATCCTGGAAGGTAAATAGCACCGACAGCATTCAAGCATTTCGTAATCCTATTCATGCTCCTTTGCCAGGTAAAGGGTTGGTCACCCCTCTGCTTCCGCTACTATGAATTAGGCACGGAAAACAGAACTCTTCGGCAAACGATAGTTCGGCGTGCGTAATACATGTTCTAACCAACGCAACTTCTGGTGCTTGACGGATTCTTCAACCGAACACTCGCTTTCTAATCCTATCGTTACGGATTCACCGACAACAATCCACATGAGCTAAGACAGTTATTGCCGAAGAATTGAAGATGTCTAAGTCCCACTGCTCCAACAGGCCAAGTTTCACAGGCATGCGACAAAACAGCCTGCACTGTAGCATGGTACACGTCCCTTGAGATTCAGGGATACACCACTCTAAAGTCATAGGTGTCCCAAATTAACAAACGCCACCTGGACCTGACCTTATCTTTCACACTACAATCAGAACCATACGTAAAACGCTCCACAACTTCCAGTACATCTCCCTAACTTGTAAGTGACGTGTTCGTATCAGTAAACAAGATAGCGGTCATGTAGTTTTCTAGCTAAACTGCATCGCCTAAGTTCGTTTATGTTTTTGCGGTGGACTTACATTGTTTAAGGTGCGCAAAGGATGCTAGGTCAATGATGCTTGCGGCGTCTTACTCGGACATAATGCTCAGATGTGTTCATGTCAGTGCTGTTGAAGAGTGTAAGGATCTTGTTCTCCATCATTTTGTCTAGAGTCATAGGGTTTTTTGTACAATGTTCTCCCTTTCTTCTTCCCACTTTTTACTATGGTTTTCTTTCCACATGGTTTTCGGCAGTTAAGCGCCGGTGTGTATTTGGGCCTACTAACTTTGATGGTTAAATCAGAAGTCAAAATCTATATATTCAAACCGGTTTTCTTTAACGCTAAATTGAGGAGAACCATAACCAACAGCCTCATTTTTTCTACTTGGTTTTGTAGTCTCTGTTTAATATACACGAGTTTCTGCTTCAATAATACCCATGGTCACTTGTATTCTTTGTTTTGAAAACGACTAGAAGTCGTTCCATGTTTGTTCGCTTTTCTGCCTTGCAGCTGGCCATGCCTGTCATCCAGGCCACCGTTTCGTTCGTTATAGAGATGCGGGAGTTTCACAACGTAGATCTTTACCACCGAGGGTAAGTATTTCCCTATTCCTGATATTGTTTTGTATGAATCTATCTTAGGTTCTACCAAGTGCGCGCCTATCTCCGATCCGGAAGCCAGGCTCTATCCACTCCAAACTCCGCTCAATCTAAGTCCATGAGTATGGCAGAAACTCCCTTGCGTTGGGATCGTTTGAGTTGTCGGGCACATGTCCCAGAGGCAGTGCACCCGAGTTACATTGATCCCGGATCTCAAACTCCGAATTTCGTAACAGAGAAAATGTGCAGCAAGATTCTTCTAATAATGTATCGCGAAGAAGCGGCACAGCTGTGTGATGTGTTTGAACAACGTCTGTTGCTTCAAGTTGATCCTGCGCGTTTGGAAGATTCCTTCATGAAGCATGAACTATTTCTCTGTGTTGAACTGTGGTTTGCCGAAGAATCAGTAAACGAGTACGTCCCTTTCCAAGGGAAGAGGCCACAATCTAAGTTCGTCAGTTTTGTCAGCCTTACCATCTATGCCAACCTCTTACGATGACTAAACTTATTTCCCCACACGATTTGGCATCCGTTTCACACTCGTGAAATATGCGGTGCTGCTTCTGGTGGACATCCGTTTAGTGAAATATCTCCTCCAGTTATTTAAGTTCGTGATCAGTGGCATTTTCCGTGAAAGCTATTGCTCCACCTTCTAACTAAACTCCTTTTGTAGCGCATCGGCAGAAAACTGGAGAGACAGAGGTACTGATAGATCCCACTGTGTTTTCTGTGGACGGACCCATGAGGTGTTCCATCATCCCATTCGGTCAGTTGTATATCGCAAAAGTTAATTTTGTCATTCACCTCGTGCTCAATTGCTAACTTGATATTCGAATGAATGGTGTTCACTGGCCGGAACATTATTTATTGAATCGATCCTGTCACCACGACTGTATCATCTACATACATTTTGGAGAACATCCCTCGTGCAACGAAATACACCTTGCAAATGAAGCAACAGCTCATCTCTCTGTGCCCTCTTCAAACCATCCTTCTCTCGAGAGGTTCGATGGTCGTGAGCTGCCGCAGATTCCTCTCTGGCCTTCAACAGTTCTTGGCTTTTCAGTGCACACTGGTTGCTTTTGCGGAACGGAATCTATCGTAATCGGTTATTGTTTATTAAACATCAGTCCATTCGGCGGTTGAACGGCACCAGTTGAGTCCGCCATTGACTTCCCCCGGGAAACCACATAGAGCTACTGTTCTTCGCAGAATAGGTTTCCCGGACTGAGGAACTGAAATCGGTATCTTGTGGGGTGTCGTTTCACTATCTTGAACAACTTTGTTGTTTCATTTGGTGTAGATAGCTGTCTGTTAGCAATCAACGAGCACAGGGAAAGTTACATCATGATTGTGGTCAACTTGGACAGTTGCACTTACAAATCAGTTAGTAGTAGCAGGGGATCAGTCTTGTTACATACCCAAGATTTCGTGTTGTTCTCGTGCTCTCATCTCAGCAGAATTTCACACTGGAAACGATATCGCAGTGTCACTTTCTCATCCAACTTTCTCTCTCAACAATTGGTTCCAAGTTTTTCCTCGTTCATTTGCCAGAGCGTTTGTGGTCCAAGCCATGGAGAAGCTGCATGAACGCGAACTACGGATTCATTTCACACCCACCCGAGGACTTCATCACCATTTCGATGTGTTTTTTGACTACTTTCATCTTTGTGCAGTCGAAATGGCCATTCACGGTGCTCTTACCAACATTTCGCCGAGTGTGATCAGGTGAGAATTATTATTACACTTTCCGGTTAGTTGATAACCTGCTTACAAAGGGTTGATCGAAGATGGTAAGCAACTGAACTCAGTCATATTAGTTCACTTTATCCAAGCAGCTGACGTCGACATTAGACGTGCCATTTTGGGTTGTGAATGCTAGGCTCTGTTCTCAGATAAAATAAAAAAGTGGTTCAGTTGTAGCCTTCTTCCGGTGTCTAGCTGCCATGCCACCAGAAGGAAGCACGAGGGCTGGGATACTACCAGGTTGCCCCAGCCTAAACAGGGGAAGTCGAGAGGCAGAGGTCGGGTTCGAACCGCGGACCTTCCTGTCAGTAAATTCGCGCTCTAACCACTTGGTCCATCTCGCCCCCTCAGATGAAATACATGTTGGAAGAAGTCTCAACGCCTACATCACACCAAATTTCAAGAAAATAATTGAGGCAGACCCAAGTACAAAATAAACGAATAGCTCAAATCAATACTTTTGTGCACGTATCACTTGTTCTTGTGCTGTGATTGAAGATGCTTTACAGGAATTTGACACTTTCAGGTTTTTTCCGCCAGACGCTATCCTAACGGTATGAGAAAATTTATCGATGTGAGCTGTTTCCGACCCGCTTGTAGACTTTATATAAAAATATCAGTCTGCTTGGCTGCCCCTAGTCACTGGAGCCAGAGAAGTTTTTCTTTAGACTTAGTCAAAAACCACTTCTTACCTTTCTACTTTCTGTCATCAGTCAGTTCTTTTGTGGTTGAATCGATGTTCTTTCTAGCAAATCTTGGAATGTTCAAACTTCTTCCACGAACAATACATCGGCCACAATACAGGTTAGTAGCAGTGACGGAAAGCAGTTGATTACTGTCTCTGAAGAAACTGACGTTATTTGACCTTGAGAATATGGCTTCTTAACTAGGAGCAGGAAGCCGGGCTTTCTCAAAGTGACTTTGATCATAGTACAGCGTTATTTCCTGGAATTGGGTCTACCCTATCTTCTTTCATTAGCCCTGATTTGACGTTCTATCATTAGCATTCTCTTACTATGTCTTTAGCCTATACATGTAGTACTCTGACTCACTTGTATCTTCGCTGTTTTGGTGAAACGGAACGAGACGTAACACGTGAATGGCATGTTTGTTTCGAATTTCAAATGGATTTGGAGAGCTCATGCTTGACAAGGTTTTATCTAGAGCACTCGAACGTATTTCGTACCCGTTTGGTGACTACTAGAGTGCTAATCTCCGGCGAAATGTTCTCTTATCCCAGCATCGCTCAGTCAGCGTTCAAACCCAGTCTTGATTCGGTTCAGATTTACTTCCACTTGCCATACCACTTGAAATGGTAGTGCATTTGCATTTCCCGCCAAAACACCGCTGCCTTGCGGTTAGGCTTTTGAGCCAAAGGCTTTGGCTGAGGACCCTAGTCGTCCTTCTGTTTAAGTGTGGGCGCCCCCACAGTATCTCAACCCACGTACAACCATCAACTGCACATATACCAATAAACTCATGCCACATCGGCCGTCACGTGGTGCCATCAACCGGGTCGCCTTACTTGCCGCATACAGCAGGGCGGGTAACTGAAAACAGGCTATTGCTGACGCCTCCTTTCTCCCTCTTTCACTTACTTTTTTCTACCCCTTTTCCCCACCCCATTAATAACTCTCTCTTGTAAGCTCAGCACTTAGGACTGATGACTCAGTTCATCATCGGTTTTTAGCGCAAAATGGCGTCACATGGCGCCAATATCCTCAGGTATCTCCAAGTCAATCTTCAAGCAGGGCTCATTTAGGGGATCGACATGAATTGGACTCGGCACGTACGGACAGTGGGGAACGATTGCTTTGTGTATTGATCACAGGCTCTTTTTATGCAGTACTAAGTTCTGAAATAGCCGAAGTCGTCTGGCCACATGGTGAACGTGCGGGCCTACTATGAAGTATGGTGGACACAGAAAGCCAGAGAAATGCAAAAGGCCCAGAAGGCCGGTGATGCCCGAAGATTATTTCAGTTGATCCGTTGCGACCGGTTCCCGGAAACCATCTGTAAGCGAAACCATCAAGGATCGGAATGGAGTGAACATTTCGAATAAAGAAGAACGCCTCGACCGCTGGGCCGAATACTTCGGACAACAACTGTCGTAGGCACCAGCTGGCACTCATCTAGAGCCCACAGGTGAAGTGCAACCCTGGACGGTGGACGTGGAACCAATTATGATCTCGGAGGTTTAAGACGGCATATGTTCCCTCAAGCGCCACCGATTTCCTGGCCCGGATGACTTCCCACATGTATTGTTCAAAGATGGGGGTGAGGTCCTCAGTCGGCGCTGGTTTGATCTGTTTGCTTGCATTTGGGAAAAAGAGTCTGTCCCAGACAACTGGGGAGAATCGGTGATAGTGCCCATTTTCAAAAAAGGGGCGCGTAGCGAGTGTGGTAACCACAGAGGGATCAGCTTGATCGAGGTTGTAACGAGACTGTTGGCGTCAATTGTGCTTCGTCGCCTTATGATGGCTCGTGAGCAGCTGACTCGAGAGCAGTAAGCGGCATTCCGGTCTGGTAGGTGTTGTGTTGACCAAATCTTCACACTTCGTCAGGTGCTAGAACAACCCCATACGTATAAGCGACTGAAAATTCTAGTGTTCCTGGATTTCCAGGGCGCGTTCGACTCAGTTGATCGGTCTGTTCTGCTTGACACGCTTGCCCATCAAGGAACGCCCCGGACGTTTGTGAACATAATACGTTTTTTGTATCCTGAGATTCCCAAACGTGTAAGTGTATACGGAGAGCTCTCCAAAGCTTCCAAAAACAAAGCGGTTTCCATCAGGGATGCCCACTCCTTCAATTCCTTTTTAACTTCTTGGTCGCTGAGATAATGAGACGAACGCTAGAGGGTCTCCAAAACCCTGGTGTTCGAATAGCCCGTGAGGAAAACCGTATCCTTCTGGAATATGAAGACGAAATCGTTCCGATGTTCGAAGAGGAGGAGAAGACGCAGGTGTTTTTGGATGAACTCACCAAAGTCATCCCGTCCTTTGGTGTGCACTTTGCACCCACAAATTGTGAGGTCATGCTCGTGGACGTGCAGTCACTGAACTCGCCGCTTTCAATCCAGGGAGAGGTACTGGAAGTTGTGGAGCGTTTTTCGTATCTCCGAAGTTGTATTAGTTCCGACTTTAGTGTGACAGACGAGTTCAATGCACGAATCGGCAAGGTTCGGACCGCGTTTGCTAAGTTGAGACACCTATGACTTTAAAGTGGTGTATCCCTGAATCTCAAGGGACGTGTGTATCAAGCTACAATGCGGGCTGTTTTGTTTGGCTGCGAGACTTGGCCTGTTCGGGTAGCGGAACTGAGACGTCTTCAGGTGCTCGATAATCGTTTTCTCAGAACCATAGCTCGTGTGGTTTCTTGTCGGCTTATCCGTAGCGAAACCATAAGAAAGCCAGTTTTCGGTTGTGCAACGGGTACTTCATTGAAGAATGTGTCCAGCACCAGAAGCTGCGATGGATTGGGCATGTGTTGCGTGTGCCTAGCCATCGATTGCCGAAGAGGTTGCAGTTTTCCACGCCCAATTCTGAGCGGCGAAAGCAGAGAGGTGGCTAACCCTTGATTTGGGAGACAGGTATGAAGGATATTACGAAACGCTTGGGTGCTTTCGGTGTTACTCGCTTTCCAGGATGGGGCGTGATCTCCACAGCGCCTAGTTGGAGATACCACAAGATATGGCTGCCAACCGATGTCAGCGACGTTCTTGTTATCAATTTGTATCCAGATTGCTTGAGTCTAGGGATGTAGGCACCTCGGAATGATTGTGGAAAGCTAGCACTAAGTCCCTTTCCCGTCCACTTTTATTCCTTGCTTTACTATAAGGCTGTGGCAGCTGACTCGAGAGCAGTAAGCGGCATTCCGGTCTGGTAGGTGTTGTGTTGACCAAATCTTCACACTTCGTCAGGTGCTAGAACAACCCCATACGTATAAGCGACTGAAAATTCTAGTGTTCCTGGATTTCCAGGGCGCGTTCGACTCAGTTGATCGGTCTGTTCTGCTTGACACGCTTGCCCATCAAGGAACGCCCCGGACGTTTGTGAACATAATACGTTTTTTGTATCCTGAGATTCCCAAACGTGTAAGTGTATACGGAGAGCTCTCCAAAGCTTCCAAAAACAAAGCGGTTTCCATCAGGGATGCCCACTCCTTCAATTCCTTTTTAACTTCTTGGTCGCTGAGATAATGAGACGAACGCTAGAGGGTCTCCAAAACCCTGGTGTTCGAATAGCCCGTGAGGAAAACCGTATCCTTCTGGAATATGAAGACGAAATCGTTCCGATGTTCGAAGAGGAGGAGAAGACGCAGGTGTTTTTGGATGAACTCACCAAAGTCATCCCGTCCTTTGGTGTGCACTTTGCACCCACAAATTGTGAGGTCATGCTCGTGGACGTGCAGTCACTGAACTCGCCGCTTTCAATCCAGGGAGAGGTACTGGAAGTTGTGGAGCGTTTTTCGTATCTCCGAAGTTGTATTAGTTCCGACTTTAGTGTGACAGACGAGTTCAATGCACGAATCGGCAAGGTTCGGACCGCGTTTGCTAAGTTGAGACACCTATGACTTTAAAGTGGTGTATCCCTGAATCTCAAGGGACGTGTGTATCAAGCTACAATGCGGGCTGTTTTGTTTGGCTGCGAGACTTGGCCTGTTCGGGTAGCGGAACTGAGACGTCTTCAGGTGCTCGATAATCGTTTTCTCAGAACCATAGCTCGTGTGGTTTCTTGTCGGCTTATCCGTAGCGAAACCATAAGAAAGCCAGTTTTCGGTTGTGCAACGGGTACTTCATTGAAGAATGTGTCCAGCACCAGAAGCTGCGATGGATTGGGCATGTGTTGCGTGTGCCTAGCCATCGATTGCCGAAGAGGTTGCAGTTTTCCACGCCCAATTCTGAGCGGCGAAAGCAGAGAGGTGGCTAACCCTTGATTTGGGAGACAGGTATGAAGGATATTACGAAACGCTTGGGTGCTTTCGGTGTTACTCGCTTTCCAGGATGGGGCGTGATCTCCACAGCGCCTAGTTGGAGATACCACAAGATATGGCTGCCAACCGATGTCAGCGACGTTCTTGTTATCAATTTGTATCCAGATTGCTTGAGTCTAGGGATGTAGGCACCTCGGAATGATTGTGGAAAGCTAGCACTAAGTCCCTTTCCCGTCCACTTTTATTCCTTGCTTTACTATAAGGCTGTGAAATAAATCATGGTTGTACGGAAGTGAAGCATCGGTGTTGACTACTGATGTCATGGTGTCGGTGATCTTGATGATCATGATGATGATCCACTCCTCTTCTTGCATCTTGCATCTGGAAACCGGTTGTATCGATATTCACGACGAGAACATCGCTTGTCTAATTTAAGTTGCTTTAACCTCATACATATAATTCACGCTCTCCTGTTGTTATTTGAATTCTCAGCCCACCGAAACCAACACAGCGCATGAGTTCGCTGCCACGGTCTGCCTCGTTGCAGAATTTGGCCCAACAATCCTGGCATAGAATATTGTTCAGCGTGCGTAGCCATGTAAGTCTTAGTTTTCCCCTCCATCTTTTCCTCTTCTTTTGGTACACACAGACGCCCTAAACAGCAGGCACACCATGTAGGACAGAACGTCGGTTTTAACGCATAATGAATATGACTGAACAAAATGTAGATGGTGTACAGACTATAGGCTTAGTTTTTTCAGTGACGACTCTCTCCTTCCCACACATTTTCTCTCACCAGTTAAAATATTTTAACTTTCTGACACAGCAAGTTAAGGTCCCTTATTGTTTCACACTGGTCAAGAGGCGAATGGATCAACTTCTTGCGTTGTTGTATGATCTTACTCGCGAAGCATTGTCTTTTCCTTCCCTGTATCAGCTGATGCTTATTAGGAGGCTCGCTGTTATTGCTCGTTTTGACAACAGCAACAACGGACTTGAAGAGATTTGTTGAAATCTAATAGATTTATGTGGCCACTTTACTGGGATACGTAAGCACTGCGGGCTCGCACTTTATTGGCCCAGAAACCTGGAATTCACCCTTCGCATATCCTGTTACGTAGCTCATCAGTCAAATGAAGTTTCGAAGTTTACATTGTTGCATCCACCATTTTCCTTTGTGGTAGAGATTTGAACATAGTTATACCTCGCCATGGCTGTGTATTGCGCACTTTATTTGCCCAGAGACACGTCACTTCCCAGCCTGAGGGAGACTTGTGCATGGTCGTCAATCCATGGCCATAGTTTGCCGTCCAAAAAAATAGCTACCGCTTTTTGGGTGACGCACACAGGTATTTTGCTGTGATCTTTCACGCAAAATGGAAAAATACTCCAGTAGCCCGGACCAGGGCTACAGGGTCCATCGTTCTTAAGCTAAAATGTACTGGCTACTTACTCTGTCAGTTCCATTCTTTAAGTTACGACTCGTGGATTTCTTATTTCAGCACCACAAATATCGGCACACAGGTCTAAATCCATGTATCGTACTTGGACCCACCTGCATCACTCTTAAAGGCTTTTTTGTGGTTCGTAAGATGCAGGTATAAGCAGCAAGAATCTCAGCAACACAGGAAACCTGAAGTGCAGCTTAACGTGAAGATAGATTTGGACCGAGAAAATTCGGAAGACTGGCTGAAACTGTTTATCTTCTCTATATTAGGATCTAGAATGCAAAGGGTATAGTTTAGGCGGAGCACGCTAAGATGAGCACGGGATATTTGATGGACAATGGATAGCATATGATGAACACGTGACAGCTCCTGCAAAATCACGTTGGAAAATGCTTGAATGTCAAACGGAATTAATGCACTTTATGTGATCACTCAGACTGCGAGGAATTGGCGTTCACCTTGATGGTTGTGAATAGGTTAGTGCCATTCATAGTTATTCTGATAGTTCTGCTTGCACTCTTTCACTAGCAATTCCATAAGCACTCGTGAGTGCACTATGCATTGTGTAACTGCGCTTGCCGCATGGTGGCTGGCCTGGTCAACCGCTTGCTCAACGCTGGTGATGTTGGTATGTGGTGATCCGTAGAACTCGAAAAAATATCGTTTAACTCTGTCAGTGGACAATAAATGAATGTGGACATCAGTATAATGATCGTAGCTTCTAAGACGCCCTCTGGTATTATCCTGCGCAGGTTAATCCATGGTCGAGAGAGTCAGATTGGCGAGCATCAAGCTTGGCTTCGCCCTGGTTTGGTTTGCGCCGATCGTATCTTCACCTTCCATCTAGTGCTGATGGTGCGCGACCAAGATCGGTCGGTTTTCTCGGTCTGTGAGCTGCTTTTGACGTGGTCGATCGCCAGAAACTGTGACAGTGTCTAAATCCTTATCTTTTATACAGGCTGTCTTCTGACTTCCCTATATCCACTGGTATCAGGCAATGGTGCACTGTACCATCCCTAATTCAACTTTGCAATCGAGTTGGAGCTTCAGTCTTATTTACCTGCTTCCAGCACCTTCGCTCACAGACATTGAGTACACTGATGGTGGTGTTCGCATTGGATCAAGCACTTCATGAATGCAAACTATTCTAAATAACCTAAATATCTATGCTGTATGGTTTGGCATACCTCGTAAGGTCTTTCTTGCTCAGTCATGTATCAGAGGCATGAAAGCCCATATCAGTCATTTGTCTTCTGGATATCCTCGCACCGTGGCGAAAAAAAATCTCGCATGCTCATAGAATAACAACAGCCCGATGTGCCCGGGGTTCGCTTCTCCGTTTAATTCCACTTGTACACCACAGAGTGTTCGTCACTTGGAGGAATGTTATTCTCGCTCTGTCGATACGGTTTGACCATCGAGAAGAAGTATCAGCAGGAGTATTTGTATGTGAGACTTTCCATAGGTGTGCCTAACGTTGTAACTGACGGAGAACGTCATCGTCTTTGTGACGAATGCCTTTTCGGTGATCGGCGCGCAGTCGTAAGACTTCGCCATACATCTGAACTCGGGTTCTGAATATTGATAGGATTGATGGGCTTGGGCGGGGCTCTATATGATGTTTTGTAACGAGGCACAGACAATCGTTGAGGCACGTGGTGGCAAGCTTACGGAATCTAAACCGAATTCCCTCTATACGGGAGAGACCTGGTGTGCAAGTCCTCAATGAAGTCTTGAACACTTGTTTGAGCCACATATGTGTAATGTTGCCGCTAAGTGGTGTTGTTGAGGCGTCATGGCTATCTTTGCTGACCATTTTGAGGAAGATGATGCTCCATATCCGTTATGCGCTTTTTCGGCGAAATGCAGTTCCATATGGGTAGTAATGTTCGCCTGGAGATCTGGCCACGAAGATGTGGAATGCTGTGTTCTACCTTATTGTTCAGAACAAATACAGAATGGAGTGTTTACCCGAGGTATGGCAAATGCAACGGATGAACATCATAAAATCAGCCACCCACAGCTGTTCCCATGTTATCATCTACTTTGGTACGGTAGCGCTTTTATCGCTTCAAGTGGGGCAGTTAATTTTCGTCTTGGCCAGCAGCATTCGGGTGACCTGGGTGGCTGTGGTGCGTTGTGATTTCTTGATGACGTGAAACGGCACCAAGCTGTGCTCAGATCTTTTGTTGAACGGCGAATAATCGGTCTGGGAACCAGCTAAATTGGTTCCATCGAGACCAGAGCCTTTACGACTCTGGCGGATTAGTCAGTCGGACGAACCTATGTGAGACTTCCAATCTTCTACTATGACTTCCGGATATTTGATTTGTCACAGCTGATAGACGCTCGTAAAATTCTTCTGGATGTACATCCAGACTCACCCTCCGGACCACTACGGCAAAACTAATGCTAGTAGTTGATGGGTGATACGAATCCATAGTCGAAATCTTGAACGATAGGCTATATCTACCTGGTGACTGTACAGTGCCTACATAGTGACAGATCGGCTTCCAACGCCCACAGATATTTGAACATTCAGCAAAGCATAGTGTTGTATTGTATACGGGCGAATTTCATGCTTCTGGTATTGTAGCCACTGAATTATCCGAAGGTGCGTCGTCTGCCGTAGTATGGGAAACTTGTAATTGCACGCGGATGACACGAGTTTCTTAGGGGTCTACGTCGAACCTCTACACGATCTTCGGATACTTGCGTAACGGAGGGATTTACTGTGAATGGTCGAACAGCGCGACCATCATTTCCCTTGGATTAGCGAAGTGATTTCACTTCCTGTTCTTATATCGCCGGTTTTTTGGGATCAGTTCAAATGCCCCAGACAAATTTGCCACTTGACTTGTGTAAGAACGTATTCGGATACGCCACGAAAAGACAGTGATTAACTGACGTCACTTGAAAGCAAGTCTTTTAAAGGGGTTTCATCGAGTGCAAAACCGACTTTGTTACCGAGGACATCCAAATCCTACCACGATGATATGTTTTCGAGGCATGCGTTCGATGAACGCAACACTCGAGCTAATCAACAAACCTTTGCATTTCTGATTCTCGTATATTCGTCCTCTACTAAGCGCACAACTCCTCCCGCAACTTGTTTTGTGTTTCTTGGTCAGCTGTTCGATCCAAGATTTTTTAGCTGTCTTGGTTCTCACCTGGGATAACATTACTCTGACTTTCCCCCTTTGAGCACTTGCACTGTCTGCCACATCCTTTCCGATTCATGTGCGGTTCACATTTGGTCCCCCTTTCAAGCAGCTGTGTTTGCATTTTGTGTGCAACCATCTGTGCGTTTATTAGCGTGATCAATAACCCAGAAGACCTTAATTCTTGTGACCCTAACCAACGTGGTCTTGTCCACAGGTGTCAGCTGCCTCTGAGCACGAAATGTCTAACTATTACATAGTGCCTTAACAGGCAGTGTCGTCCAGTTGGTGTGGGTTTCCAGTAACGAATTTTGTACTGATCTATATTTTCCCAGCCCTGATTTCCTCTATTTTTCTACTGTATGCCTGTATCAGGTAGGCATTCTTCAGGCCGGTTGACTAGGTGACCTATGTTGTTTGAGCTTACCTGGGTCGTTCATAATTCGTCTGGTTGATATTTTCCGTTTGGTTTGCGTCTGGCTCGAAACTTTATTTAGTTTGGTTGTATCATGATTTACTGTGCCTTCAGTAGGGATTTGCATGTTTTTGTTAGAAATAGCCTGTAAAGTAGTCCAACAGTACTGGAAATGAAATTAACATAGTTTGGTCCGATAGGTTGAGTGTTACTCTCGGCACCACGCTACTCTTTAGCTGGATACGCACCACTGTGCACGCTAAAATGAATCTAACGTCCGTCTGATACACTAGAATAGGTGTACTAGTACAAAAACTGCCGCGAATCTTTTCCTGAGGTCATCAGCCCTGACGGCATGTTCCTAACATTCATCCGAGATCAATTTGCTGCATTCCTTGTCTATGGCCTTTTGCTTGTTCTAGTTTGTTCCCTGCTCCCGATTGCCATCAACAGTTTAGCATTAGAAAACAACGCCAGACCAATTGTCCCGTGATTCCACTTGTGACAGATGACTGAATTTGCCAAGGGTTTTCGAGAAACAAGTGACTTGCATAAGTTCTCTTCAATGTCACATTACAATCCATGTGTCTGACTTACGGTTCCCATGGTCAGGTGGTATAGCCCGCCAAAAATCCACGGCTCGCTTGGCGTTTGGATCGCTGGATAGGATTGATGTCTGAACAGAATATTCTCAGTGACTTTTGCCATAGTCGAAGTTTGTTGGAGATATGGCTGCTCATGGATGCTCAGAACTGTTCTTAGCATTCCACCGTCTTTAAGAAGAATTCGGTTGTTACCAAGCCTCGGTTGTCTATCTAACTAACGAGTAATACACAGGAAACTGCTAGCAAACATTAAAAAAACCTGGGAAGATATCGTTTCGTCGTTGTTTTTTCAACTGTATCCTAATGGTGGATCGAGAATTAAGTCTCTGGGGAAAACATGTTTATCAGATGTCTCACCGTTGTAAACATATTGAATTAAGGTAAATAATAGTTCATGTATCTAACGGGTTTTGGATGGTTCGCCTGAGTCCAACAACCGTACTCCAAGATCTTACTGCTCGTTAGGACGGACACAGTTCAGTCCTGCCGTTTGCACTTGATACCGTTTGGTCGCTTTTTGGTGGCATGGCGTGGTTCAAAATTCACCATCACAGCGCCACTTCCTGGATTCTCTCACTTTTGGGGACCCGTTTTCGGTACTTAAGGAGCAGCAAGCTTAACACTTCTGTCCTCTATTTATCTAGAATTATCTGCTACCCAGTTTGCTGATCACCAAGTTAGTTCTTTGTCCCTGTACGCACTCTGTAACGGTTGTTTGCCTGACTTAGGGTTTCTTTTTTCTCCTAATTTTTAATTGGACCTACCATCCTTTCGTCATAATCCTAGTTGTCAATTTGCGCATGCAATCCAGTGATGAGCGTAAGGTTTTGTTCTTGTTCCTTTTCACGTTACTGTTTCTATGTGCCCATCAGTTTTTCGTTCAAAACACTAAACGATGCAAGTTCCTCGCTGTTTCTAATCTGAATTCTAGCTGCCCAAAAAATCCACAGCTATTACAGTCCCTATCTAATCGATCTCGGTCTAACACTTTGAACCGATACAGTTTCTGTAAATGAAACTTTTGGTCCACTGGAAAATTTTATGCTGATACTTGAGTTTTTTTGATGTCTACACTCTCTAGAGACTTATCTCCATTGATAAAAACCGAACGATGGATAACCCTCAGCATAACTCACCAGCGAATATCCAGTGGTTTTTACTATATCAGGTGATGGAGGAAACCTTTAAAATTGATGCCTTCCGTTAGAGCACAACTTACAGATATTCAGGCGAAATAGAGCTACCAACTTTTCATAGACTGGGACACGCAAGCACTAATGCATCCATTTGCCGCTTGGGATTTCCCCTAGATCCACGCGAAATAAGTTTATTGCATTTCCTGTTGAAGACGTATTTTACACTGAAGCTGAAGATGGCCACTGAATTATGAGTACCTTGAGTAGAAGACCAGGACTTCGTCGGAACCCGGAGGTTTCTAGGGAGATATATGCACTAGTTCCTCTTTCCTACTCAGCTGGAATAGCTGATGGACCAACATACCAGCCTCCGTGCGTAACTGATTGCTCTGAGGCTTTCGTTCATATTAGTTTGTTTCTACCGTTGTTTTGTTATTGCCATTGCTCTATCTCCTCACGCTCATATTAATACTGTTTCCTTCCTCCGACCACAGGCAACCCGTAAACAACTCGCACTCGCCATACACCGACACCTATGTCATGCTCTGCTCGCAGCTCGTGAATCGATGCTGCTGTTCTGGCGCGAAATTCTCCCATATTTACCTATTCATTCCAAACCACGTGATGGTATGTTTACCGTGCGCGATTGTTATGTTACATGCGAACTGACGTTCTCACCACCAAACCTTTAATGTGTGTCCCATTCAAATGCTTATTTATGCTTGTTGTTTGTTGGAGAATTTCACCATGGTCTATTCTAACCACCAAGCGGTTGCGCATGTCGAGGCACCTATTTAATTCAAGTCCTTTCTTTTGTAATATTCTTTTTTTAACTTATGATTTAACTGGTTAACTGCGACTTCGCCTGCAAAATCCGAGAACCATAGGTTTATCACATCAGAACTTTCAATGTCCATACTTTTTGTCAAACGGGACAACTGTCTGTGCTTCCGTTCCTCGTTGGTATACGAATGATGCTGTCTTATTGTTAGTGTCCTTGGATGGGGTGGCTAAAGTTATGCTCTGTTTTCGCGAGATGTGGGTTAGGTGTGTTGTCTCCCTTATCCTTTAGTCTAATGACCGGCTCTTGTGCTGCCTGTAAGAAGCTTAATGTAAATGGTATTGCTGAACTACGCACTATTATCATCAGTGGCTGGCTCATAAGCACTCTCAGAAAAATACTCTACATCGTGTTGTTGAAGCATTTAGCTTCGATATAGACGAAACTCTTGTGACCTATCGAACCAAAGACTAAATGGGATGACCATCTGTGTGGCCGTGTGTTGTCCGTTCTCCCATTCATCTATTTCCGTCTGTGATTTGTATGTTCTCGTTCAGTGACCACTTGTTGATGAGCTTCCCCTTGCTTTATGATGTGCTGCATCAATGCGATCAGCGATCAAACTTCCTTCTTGTATTGCAGGTCCAAGTTGCTTGAGCGCACTTTCGTACCTTTGCATTCGTCAACTTTCGGTAGTATATCTTGGATAGATGCCTTTCTCGGGCTCATCGCATGATCAACAGTTAGGTGCTAAGTGTTTCTTCTAAAACAAGACTGGTTTCACTTGATGGGATGCATATTTTGATGTAGATGGGATATCAGTACTCAGGGTTCAACGACTGGTGGTTGCACAACTGTTAGTGAAACCATTGAATTTGCGCTCACATTACATTGCAGAGAGGTTGATTCCATTAGGTGTATCCTGTAAAACCTGGGATCGAAACTGTATATTGAAACCGACCACTAAGTTTGGCCGCCTCACACGTGAGACCGTATTGGAGCATATGTGAGATTTGGGCATCTGTTGCAGACCCTTTTGGGGCTGTTACAACTACCATCTACCCCTCATGACTTCCTGTTCTATAAAACTGACCTATCAAAGACGTACCATTCTGGAGCAAGCGCCTTCTACAAGCGGAAAGTCACTCTAGTCACTCTGTGTGAAATGTTATGTTATTTTCAAATTAAGACGTGATACAGTTTTTCCTTTTTGCTCACAATGATCTTCATTCATTTTTTTAGATTCGCTGGATTTTTCACACAAGTTAGAGCAGCTGGTAGAAACCATGATGGTATGTTATTCTTTCCTTCGGACCAGCAATTTAGTGTAGGTTTCTGCACTTTGTATGCCACCTCTTCCCAAAAGATCGCTCGCACCTATACAGTTCATAAAATTGCTTCAGCTTGACCAGTAATTTACGCTGGCCGTCTTCCTGACTCCACCAGTCGCGCGACACCAGTCTAATGACGAAGTTTATCCCATGGCTGTACATTGCTAGACATATTAGTCTGTGCAACAACAAAAATCCTTTATGTGTTTCTTACACGATGCTTCCCAAATCCTCACGACACTGCTACTTCTACCAACTAGGACGACGCGTGACAGGTTTGTTCAACAGGGCTGAGGGACAAAACACCTCTGTACGTTCTTTGTTTATTTGAGTAGATAACCACCACAGCCGGAAGACCGGTTACTCCGAAACATTATCATGAGCTGGAGGCACCACTGTATAAGCGATATTGATGTATTTCAGACATTTCTCCGGAGCAAATTTCCATTTACAATAAATTGGCCTGTTACACCCCATGGTTGGTGATGATAAAGCCATTTACTTATTCCGATATGATACGTCCCTTCTTACTCCCAATGAACGCCCTTATGATTTACTTTCTTGAGGGTCCTTGACGGCCAAGTGTAAGCCAACCATTTCCCAAGCTGCAGTAAATCCGCTGTATCCCTCCCACTCCACTGGTTGCTTCTACGAAATTCGATGTCTACAAAGATTGTATAGCCCAAGGTCCACCCGCACTGGTGTAGTGCAATACGAGAACTGGTGTTTCAAACGACTCGGGCTGACAAATCTTGGAGAGGTTGTGACCAGGAAGAAGTAAAAAGCTTGTCCAACTAATTAATTTTGCTGGTCTCAATCGATTTCTTTTTGGTACCCGATGGGAAATCTGGTTATTTGAAATCTGAGTGATAATCACAATGTTCCTGAAATCAACTGTCCCAGCTGTAGTTCAGTGGGTATCCCTCAATGATGGGTACAGGTCCTGTCGTAGAGCACAAACAGAAGAAAGTGCGATTCATGTAATTCTGGGTCTTTTTGGTTGGTGATCAGGATCGAGGACTGGCAGCACGTTCATTTCTGCACTTTGTGTTTTGCCTCATCGGGACACTAAGACGTGGAGCTATTTTTGAACAAACCGAACCAGAGTCCGCGCATGTAGTCCTGTGAGAGCAACAATTTCTCCCGCTACTGCGGCACGTAGGACTAGTGGCGATGTTGATTTATCTTCACGGTGGTGCTTCGTTAGAAGGACGAACATTTTGTTGGGCGGTGGCCCTTGTCGAAAATTTGAGTTTACGAGAACAGTCTGATTGTCTGAATACGAACTCAAGATATTCTGCTGCACGAGAAGTTCATAAGGGCCTGCTGAATTTCATCAGGGCCTACTACTAGAACACTAAACCCACGTCCGATTCTTTAGGGGGAAGAATTTTATTCCTAATGTGGGTGTTAAAAGACACTCTCCGTCTTTTCCGCACCACCTTCGACGGGTAAATCACGAATGAAGCACTTTGTTTAAGTTGATGCTATTGTAATGCATTGTAGTGTCTGTCCTTGTCTTTATCGACCGCCATCCACCGCAGGTTGACCTGAAAATAAATGTCAAATGATCAGGCTATGAGTTGCAAACATGAACGTTTGAACCAGTTGGCTGGTTTTTGTCGACCATCAGGTGTTGTCGACAGGCCACACAGGAACTAAAGTGAGACCGACACTGTCCACGTCAGTGATTCTATCGACCAATAGTGATGTGTATGTGAGAAACCGTCCTCCAGCAGATTGACCGATCTTTTTACTGAGGGCGAACTTGAATTCGGACTATACAATTATCAACGCTCTGTTTCAGTCAATACTGGAAGCAGTGATTGACCAACCCCAAATGTCGCCAGGCCAATCAGATAGTGAATGTATGAGGAGCGGACATATCCAAAAATCAATGAAGTGTTCAAAGAGCTACCCACAATGCTGTTTGTGATCTAATAAAAACCTGTTTTTGAACTTAAAAACTGAGATTTCTATGGAGTGAGACGAGTCCCTTGTGATTGATTTCCGGGAACTCAACATTTACACTCCATCCACTCGAACGGCTGAGTCTTCGGATTGATAACGTATGGGAAGCCTTCGTGCGTGTATCTGCTAACATGCCCACGAATCAGTCTTCTAATGGTACCCCACTTGACAGCCCACTGACAGTGCTGGATTTATGCATCAATTTGTCAGCTCCCGCCTGCAATGCGCAGCTACCTCCCCCTCCCCCCAAATCACCTTGAACGAAACTACGGCAGCCACAACCACTGTACGACGAGTACGCGGTTATTACATCTGACAATGATGATGATGATGATGATGATGACTCCGATTACAATGCGATCGTCTGATCCGTAGTAACCGGTCTGCTTTACGTGGACTTTTCAGGCTGACGGTCGTCTCAGACTCGTTATAAGTGATTCTTGGTGCCTTATGGTGAACACTGAAAGCACGTTGGAGTGACAGACTGTCGGATGATGGCATGATAAAACCTCCTTACTGTGTTTCGCATTTTCCCAGCGTGATCCAGTGACAATAACGTTACTGGTTTGCATATGACATCGAAGAATCACTTGCCAGATTGTCCAAACTGTCACTTGCTGCCACTGCTGGGTTCTGAATGGTACTATCTCTTCTGAAAACAGCTAAGATCATCATCATTATCCACAACAACAGTGTTCAGCGCTAATGTCTCGCTACTGTACACCCGTAACTCAAGTGGAATCCTTAGTGTGCAGGAGAAAATACGGATAAATGGCTCTGGCCTGCTACAGTCATTTCTGGGTGCACCCTCAAAAACTCATTCGGACAATCTGAATAGGAACTGACGACGTATGCTCCACTGACTGCGATTAGCAGCCATATCTTGCAGCGTTTCCATCTGTGCGCAGGAGAGATCACTCGGAGATCCTAGAGGGTATAGTCGTTCAGCTGTAGCACCCTTTCGGTGTCTAACTGCCATGCCACCCAAAGGTTGCACGAGGGCTGGCAAGCCTAGACAGGGGAAGTCGAGTGGCAGAGGTCGGGTTCGAACCACGGACCTTCCGGTCAGTAAATTCGCGCTCTAACCACTTGGGCCATCTCGCCCCCCGAGGGTATAGTCGCTTTTATACTACTCTGTCTGCACCCTATGATTGAACTTCTGGGTCTCCATGTTGTCCACAAGGTTGAGGAAGGGAACCAAAGCAGCATAAGGCCTTGCTCGAATTTTGCTCCTGACCCTTATTCATGGATAATGGTGACTCGAATTATTCTTGCTGCCTATTCATTCTTCCTTAGGACTAATCTACAATGAATTGGCACCGAGGCAAGCAACACCAAGTATGAGTGCTGTCGGTCGACCGTACATTGGTTGCATGGTAGCTAGTACTTCCAATGGTTAGCCGTTCCAATCCTTGTCATGAAACGTGATGAGCTCGTTTAGCCTCATCAAAGCATATCTCAACGAATACGTTATGATACACAGCCGAAATTGGTCGTATTTGTGAATGTCATAACAGTCACGGGGAACATCACGCCCTCAACATGTGATCACGGCATTGCTGTCAGCAAGTTGTCTGGACGGGGTCCATGCTCCCTTTCTGTAGTCTGGGGTGAGATGGCCCAAGTGGTTAGAGCGCGAATTTACTGACCGGAAGGTCCGTGGTTCGAACCCGACCTCTGCCACTCGACTTCCCCTGTCTAGGCTTGGGCAACCTGGCAGTATCCCAGCCCTCGTGCTTCCTTCGGATGGCATGGCAGCTAGGCACCGGAAGGATGTTACAGCTGAACGCTTCTTCTTCTTCTCCGTAGTCCCACTGTGGAGGTGTCCATGCAGTTATTTTGCCGCATAGGTCATACAGGGTTTTTCTGACAACTGACTCGAGCTTGTATACCGTTAGTGAGTCTTTCCAGCAATCATTTGGGCTACATTCAGTCACGCGCAAAACCCCAATAGTCAAATAGTTCAAATGGAGGTTTACCAACAAATGCATGTGCTATGAATACAATAATAAAATAGTAAAGTTGTACAAACCTCCAATCGTGGGACTACTCCGGCTTTTATGCACCGGTTTAGGAACTGCTAATTTCACACGGGATCCTCAAGTTCACACTGACTGGAGGCAAGATGGCCACAAGGTAGCGAAACCCACGTTTTGGTTTAAACAAGACGTAAGATGTCAAGATCAAAGAGCATTTTACGTTTAGGTCAAAAACAATAGAGGTGGTATAGGTGCAAAACCAAAACAACAGAAAGGGGGAACCGCGTTGTGTACAATCAGATTAGAAGAAAGGTATCAACAACTGTTGGGATAGGATAGACTGGTTGTTTCTTTCACCAGGAGACATTAGCTGTATGTTTACTTGTCTTCGTTGTTGGCCTTTTGGACAGTCCTCTTCCTTTGTTATAACTACTTCAGATTTTTTTCCGGGCTCTTTTCTCAGGCGCGTTTCCTTTTTCGTTAACCGATCACGAAACCTGTTCCATATTCTGTCCTCTTTTTCTGTCCTCTTCAGGCACAAACCACAGATGAAGATATGGCCAATCAGATTTCACTGGACGTTTCAAGATTGTCTTCACAAAACACGGTGCTTATTAAAAAGTTGTGCAAATCGTGCGCACTCCAGCCTAAAGTTGCAACCTACCTCAGGCGTAAAACCCATCAAATTCGTGTACGTTTCAATCGGTTCTCATCACTTTCCTCGCCCGACAGTGGTAGTTCAGTTCATGCATGCAGCTCAGTTTATCAGTACTGTCTCCTGGCGTTGTCAGTACTTGGAACCCTTATTACATCGAGGGGATGTTAGGCAAATGTAGCTGGTGGAGAGGGCAGTGATACAATGGATAAAGCAGCAGAGCAAAGGGATTGGCAGGGCGAATGTCAAACTTCCTTGAATGTGTTCCACTAATCTACTCTGCAAATCAGCTGATGCAAACCGCGATTAGTGAAGTGGATACACTTTTATCATTTATTTTTGAAGAGCATGGTCACAAACATAAAAAGTGAGTGCAAGCGATGAATGCGAAAGAGTAACAGGAGAATATGGGAGAAAAGAGAGAAACGTCTCATTCGA